CAGGATAGTTTTTGAAGGAAGCTTTACGATGTTAAGGGAGGAAACAAGTTTGTTCCAAAATGTTGGTGTTGGAACGGCAAAGGCTTTTTCACCTATTACAATTCTTGTTATAGGGATATTTAAAATGCAATCAGATGGACACATTTGGTTTCTTGGGTTTGGCAATGGAAATTATGAATTAGCTAAGTAGAGTGCAGATTTGCCAATAAGGATGCTTTGGATGAACAAGGCCCAATGTAGGTTTCTCCTTGTGTAGTGACATCGGGGATGTCACTGTATGGTGCCGGCCTGAGAAGGCCATGGCATGCGATGCACCGTCATCGCGTACACCCTGTGAGCGGGTGTAGTACCAGCCCTAGCGGAGCTCGGGGAGCGCTGGATAGCGCGGGCACCACGCATAGCGTGTGGTGCGGGCTCCCACCAAGGGGATTGGTAGAGTGTCAGCCCAGGGGCAGGGTTGCCCCGGGCCATGGCACTCTGGTTGAGCCGGCATACACGTGATCTGGAGTGTCCACAGAGAGGCCCCCAGGTGGGGGGGACTAGGGGGTGATCACGTGTCTGGGGAGAGCTCTTGAGAAGGATCGACAGAGAACGAGAATGCTCGAGAAGGCGGGCGGGGCCGAGGGTGGAGCAGCCCCGACCGTAGGGGGATATAAGGCGGGTCTCTGAGAGGGACCAGAGTGGCTGCATTCTACAAGCTGGAAGCTCTACGTCCTACAAGCTGGAAGCTCTACGTCTCAAGCTGGAAGCTCTACGTCTACACGCTGGAAGCTCTACATCTACAAGCTGGAAGCTCTACGTCCTACAAGCTGGAAGCTCTACGTCTCAAGCTGAAGCTCTTCGTCCTACGAGGCAACCATGTGGTTGGAGACCCGAGTGAGGGTCTGACCCTTCGTAGCAGTAACTCCTCTGTATAGAGTAGTTAGCTGGGTGGTCACCACCCTAGGCTGTATCTGGTGAAGGGGCAGTTACCACTTGTGTTACGTGTTACAAATAAATGTGTTGCCTGTAAAAGGGACAACGTCTGAGACTCAGTTGGACTCACTACACTTGCATCAGGTGATGTGAGATTGTGATAGTGCGTCTACTGTTGGCAGCTATGCCACAATAGACGAGTCAACAGTCTGATTTATCGAGAAACACGAGAAGGCAATCAGGGTGCATCCGATGACTGCCAAAGTAGAATCATCATCATCACACCCCATCATCATCCAAGGTAAATACAACTTTGAAATGAACACCATAATTTATTGGTGTTTTTTTGTATTATTTGTGTTATTATCTATTTGTGTGATCGTATAATTTGAACTAAGTATATGGATGTTATTCATGTGTATAGTACAGGATTAATGTTGTGAAAAAATATATATATCATGTTCTCCCGTATGTTCAGCCGGACACAGGAACCTAATCCCTCGTTTGCAATATTACGTAGTTCAGTATCTACATTCGCGAATTCTACTTTTGCGCACATTTTTAAAAATATAACCGTTGTAGGTGTTGAGGCCTTGCCATACAAGTGTCACACCGTACTGTATTACATCAAACAGACTGTCGCCAGGCAACTTAGGGTGCAACGTAGCCAAGGAAAACCAAGGTCGATTGTTTTACTTCCAATTGCCAAAAACAAAAAAAACACGTAAAAAGATATATATACATCTGCATGTCGCTGATGCAAGTCGAACTCTAAGCAACAGATTCAAATGCTTGGGTGGGCAAATTGACTCGTGGATGTCAAAACTTTAAATAATGAATTAATCAGCATAGCAATGAATAATGCATTGAAAAGTCGGGGGAAATGTGAAACAAGAAAGGGGAAATTGTCTGAAACGTTACACTCTTATAAAATATATATGGGGGTGCTATACTGAAGACTAAATTTACAGAACTACATAAAACAATTAGAAATTTAAAATCATTATTAAAGCTCGTATCCTTTTCATTGTTTTTGGTGGAAACAAACCAGTGAAGATGCTCACTCTGTGTTCCACCTGGTTAACGTTAGAGAGTTACAAGGTAGGTGTGGTAACTAAGTCCACGAAAGGAGGGTAGACTGGTGGCCTGCAGTTTGGACCGAGGTGACACTGCAGATATTTGTGTGGAGTAGAGGCCGACCGAAACTGAATTTCTGGTTTCGGCCGAAAACGAAACCAGACCGAAAATTAAAAATTGACTTTCGGCCAAAACCGAAAGTAAACCGAAAGTTAAAATTTAACTTTCGGCCGAAACCGAAAGTTAAAATTTTACTTTCGGCCGAAACCGAAAGAAAACCCAAAGTAAAAAATGTACTTTCGGGCGAAACTGAAAGTAAACCGAAAGTTAACTTTTTGGCTTTGGCCGATACCGAAAGTATGCCGAAAGAAGCCACTTGCCAACTTTCGGCGCCGAAACCGAATCCAAATTTCGGTCGGCCTCTAGTGTGGAGGTGCTTGTTGGAGGTCTTGTAGCTGAATGAATAGGACATCAGATGGTTTAGCTTAACACGCAAGCAGTGCGTGTTTAAATCCTCATCTAAGATTTGTTTTATATCCCATTGGTTATAGTGTGTTTCCAATTAGCTATCCTATTGTTTACTGGTTATTTTTTTTGTAAAAGTGGACAAGAGATGGTATTTTAATCGTTTTAATAATGCTTTTTTGTACTTTCAAATTAAATGTTAGTCAAATTTCGATTTAAAGCTTTCGTGACTGCAAGGATTCATCTTCTTTGGTTCTTTCGGTAAAGTCACGTAGAATGAGAATAAAATAATAAATTGATGAAATAAAATAACACATTTCAATGCTAAATTCTATGCTAATTCCTTTGTCAAGGCGCTTTGTTTTTTCTCACACAGCTTAAAGGTCGCGATCTGAGCGTGGCTTTTTCACTCCAGCGCTGTCCTCCAGACAGTCTCGTCCCTTCACCTGATGAAGGCCGCTTGTGTTTGTGTTGTGGCCGAAACGTCGTGAGAATCTTATTGTGTTATTTTATCAATTTATTATTTTATTCTCATTCTATGTGACTTTACCGAAAGAACCAAAGAAGATAAATGTTATGCAATTTTACATTCTATACTGATGGCTGGTTTGGGAACAATTTGGAAAATACAAGTTGCCTGCATTCTAGAATTATGCAACGTAATTTTTTTTAAATCAAAGGCAAGATTTTGGTTGACGGTTTTCTTTCCTTGCAAAATTATCTCAGGTTGGCGTTGTATTTTCACCAGGACTAATAATAACTGGATACAAATTAGAATGCTGTTTGGTATCATGAACGATAGAATGTCATTCTCTTTTAATGTTTGATGTTGGTGGCGGGTTTTAACAGCATGCAATCAGAATGAAACGTGTTCCAGCATTGGTGGAGAATGTCAGTACACTGATGAGGAGTGCAAAGGAATGTACATCAGCAAGAAGTGCCCTGGAAAAAAACACTGTCAGTGCTGCGCCCGTGAGTATCTCCAAGTCTGCTTTCATAGCGATAGATTTAAAAGTGGAGCCCATAGCCTCAGTGACATGTTGTATGCATCTTCATTTCTGGTGGGAATGAGACCAGAAAAGGACAGAAAGGCTGCCTTCCTATTCAAACTGAATACCGTTCAGCCGGCAGGACTGAATGAAAGCCTGACCTTCATTTAACACGTTGTAATATTATTGAGCGCGAGATTAATTGTATCCCTCTATGTAATCCAACGTGTGCTTCAATTGGTGTAAGCTCCGATTGAAGCACACATTTGTTTACATTACAATAAATTTGCCAGTGAAAGTGGACAGCAAAAGCTAAAAAGATAATCGTTTTAAACTTGTCTCCCATAAATTCCTCTACCGCGATCCATATTTGTTTTTGGATAAGTTTATGAAAAAATACATTAAACCGAATGACATCAACACTAATCAGTTTAACACGTAGGCTTTCGTGACCAATATTATTAATAATAAACGTTTTTGGGTTAGATCGAGTTATTTATAAATTTGTCGTAACCCTCCACTGGCAAAGACTAATTAGAGAATCCATTGAAATTGAGAGAAATAGAAAGAACTTTAATTGCTCTGACAGCTACAGGCTTAGTGTGGCCTGGAAGCGTATTATTAAATAATACAAATTACAATTCCTTATAGGGGAAACACATACTAATTAACTGATTACTAACGTAGCATGTAATTACAATAACACATTGCAACTCATTACTAATCATAACAATTGACTGATTACCAATCTATTATATAATTACAATACCCCCCCACCCCGCCTGAAATCTTCGCACCTGAGTTAAATGATGACGTCACCCTGCTGCTCTATTTAAGAACGGGAGCAAGTGAGGGCTTCACCATTCTGGCGAATTGCCCGATGATGCTGGATGTAATTACCAGTGAAACGTCGCACTCAAAAACTGTAAATGTTGTGGATTCACTCTTCAACACAGCGGTGGGCTAAAGTAGTGAACTATTTTGTCAACATGACACTCTTTTGCTGATTGGCCGTGTCGGGTGGTGGAGGGTTACGACACATTTATAAATAATGCGATCTAACCCAAAAACGTTTATTATGAATCAACACTAATGATAATAATTTGGCATGAAACTACAAATATGTATCATTGTATTGACTATGAAAACCGACCTTTTTAGTTCCTGCACCCTGCTTACAAGGTTCAGGAATTTGTAACTTTTAAAAGTGCCTTTGATCCTAACATTTATAGAGAGGGACTGTAATCCTGTTGAAATGGAAATTTTGCTCAGGAAAGCATCATTCAAAGCTTTATGTTAAATGTTTTATTGACCTTAATGCAATATAGTTACTCACAATGGAATGTTTCATTACCATTTTTATTGTACTCTGAATGCAAATTAGTTTAATTAGTAATACATTTTTGGTTATTGAAGGTTTTGACTGTTGCTCAGTAGCTGCTAATAGGTAACTATTCGTATGTAAAATTACGAATTGTTCAGGATTTTTTTTATTCTCATCAGACCCCATATATAAAAAGCAGTCTCCAACTCTTATCGACTCTATCTGTCTAGTCTATCTGCTATGCAGAAAGATCATTGCCCAAAATGTTGCCTATTGTGTTTGTTTTCCTTTAAGGCAGTGTGAGAAGGCAATAGACCAACATAGAAAGCTGTTTCGTAGCATGTAAGATCGCACGTCATTCTGTATTAATACTTTTACTGTGCTAACAGCATGCCAACAAAGTATCAACTGTATGAGAAGTAATGGAACGTGTCAGTACACTGGCAAGAAGTGCAAAGGAATGTACATCAGCAAGAAGTGCCCTGGAAAAAAACACTGCCAGTGCTGCGCCCGTGAGTATCTCCAAGTCTGCATTCATGGCTATAGATTTAGAAGTGGAGCCAATAGCCTCAGTGACATGTTGTATGTGTCTTGATTACTGGTGGGAATGAGTGCAGAGAAGGACAGAGAGGCTGCCTTCCTATTCAAACTGAATACCGTTCGGCCGGCAGGACTGAATGAAAGCCTGACCTTCATTTAACACATGGTATTATTATTGAGTGCGATATTAATTGTATCTATGTAATCCAACGTGTGTTTCAATTGGTTTAACCTCCGATTGAAGCACACATTTGTTTACATTACAATTAATTTACCAGTGAAAGTGGACAGCACAATCTAAAAAGATAATCGTTTTTAACTTGTCTCCCATAAATTCCTCTACCGCGATCCATATTTGGTTTTGGATTAGTTTATGAAAAAATACATTAAACCGAATGACACCAACGATAAGAATTTGGCATGAAACTACAAATATGTATCATTGTGTTTAGTTCCTGCACCCTGCTTACAAGGTTCAGGAATTTGTAACCTTTAAAAGTGCCTTTGATCCTCACATTTATTGAGAGGCACTGTAAAACTATTGAAATGAAATTTTTTCTCGGGAATGCATCATTCAGAGCTTTATGCTAAATGTTTTATTGACCTTAATGCAATATAGTTACTCACAATGCAATGTTTCATTACCATTTTTAATATACTCTGAATGCAAATTAGTTTAATTAGTAATACATGTTTGGTTATTGAAGGTTTTGACTGTTGCTCAGTATGTAGTGTTCGATTTCACTCGGACAACTTCTGTCTTTCTCCGAACACTGCTTTATTTACAACTCTCAGCATGTCCTCCACATTCCACAGTATCCAGGTCGCCATGGCTCACTCGCCGTGCTTCACTCGACTCGCTCGCCACCTTTGTCTCTCCACTCCACCGCGATTACTTCACTTACTCCGCCGCTAACTTCTTCGTCTCCGCTCTCCGCTATCACCGTCGCTATGCTCTCTCCACTGCTAAATACTTCGTCTATGTTCACCGCTATCACCATCATAATGCTCACTCCAGTGCTAACTGCTTCGTCTCCGTTCACCGCTATCACCGTCACTATGCTCACTCCACTGCTAACTGCTTCGTCTCCGTTCACCGCTATCACCGTCACTATGCTCACGCCACTGCTGGCTGTTCTTCATCTTCAGCTCCGCTATCGCTACGCTCTCTCCACTGCTGGCTATTCTCATCTTCAGCTCCGCTATCACTCTGTCTCCAAGCTCTCCATTCTTCAATTCCCCGCTGTTCACTCCGGCCTCTCCAACTTCAACCAATTGCCGACCCCCCAATTTATCCCCGCTCTCATTACTCCCCAATTAATTAGTCCGCGTTCCAACGGCACTCCGCGTGACCGTACACCTGTTTCTCCTCCAGACCTTTAGGCGCCACTCTAGCCCTGGCAACAGCACAAACCAATCACAGCCGTCCACGGCTCTCCCAGCTTAATTGCCCCAACATAACCTGCACTGTATTTGCCTTCGCTACAGGCTGACCCAAGATAACCCGTACTGTCTGTGTGATCATGTAATCACGCTGTTTGTACTACGCACCTTCCTACTCCACTACACGTATGAAAAATTACAAACTGTTCAGGATTTTTTTTATTCTCATCAGACCCCATATATAAAAGGCAGTATCCAACTTTTATCGACTCTATCACTCTAGTATATCTGCTATGCAGAAAGATCATTGCCCAAAACGTTGCCAATTGTGTGTGTGTGTGTTTTTCTTTAAGGCAGTGTGAGAAGGCAATAGACCAACATAGAAAGCTGTTTCGTAGCATGTAAGATCGCATGTCATTCTGTTTTAATACTTTTACTGTGCTAACAGCATGCCAACAAAGTATCAACTGTACGAAAAGTCACGGAACGTGTCAGTACACTGGTGAGGAGTGCAGAGGCACATACGTCGAGAAGAAATGCCCTGGCCCAGGTCACTGTCAGTGCTGCATCCGTGAGTACCTTAAATCTGTATTCATTTAGACACCACACTAAATGAAATGAGCAGCTAATAGTTTGGTCTGAAATGATGAGAGTGAATAATCAATTGTATGTCACACATTTATCAGTATATTCAATGTAAATTAGAAAACAGGTACAGTATTTTCGTAGACTATTTAAACGTGACAAATCTACTCTGATGCAACAGATTTGGATCACGTGACAGCAAAATGGTATTTAATTTATTTGCAAACATTTCAGCGGATCTCTTTGTTCAAGTGTCACTTGATATTGTGAAAGACATTGCTTCTTCAAGTGTGATAGACGGCACTTCCTCCTTTATCTGAACAATGGTTTGATTTATCGGACATTTTTTTTCTACGCCATAAAAATACTGAGTAGAATTTTTCCACTAAACTTGAAAAATTATCCAACCAAAATCGAATTCAACCACCACTGACAGCTGTCTCCAGGCAAATTAATCTTGCCACAACTTGACAATTTGCAAAAACTGGTCCAATCCGAGTATCTTCCACAGGCACTGAGAGACCACTTGATATCTTGACTGAACCTGACCCAGGCCATTGCCTCTTTTCGATCCAGTCCTTCCAAGTACTCTTTGGTTATATTCGGTAAAGTCACGTAGGTAAAAAATAAAATAACAAAAATCACAACGTTTCGGCCACAACACAAGTGGCCTTCATCAGGTGAAGGGACCGTGCTGTCATGAGGACAGCATTTGAGTGAAAACGGCCAAGCCCAGGTCGTGTCCTTTAAGCTGTGTGGGAGGAAGCAAAACGCTTGACAAAGGAATTAGCATAAAAATGAGCACGATGTACGTAGGAGGTGCATGGGCCATGATGGACCAGGAGCGGGTGGGGACCATGACGGACCAGCAGCGGGTGGGGGGGGGGGGGGAGTAGAGTGAGTGGAGTGAGTGAGTGGAGTGAGTGAGTGGAGTGAGTGAATGGAGTGCGTGAGTGGAGTGAGTGAGTGGAGTGAGTGAGTGGAGTGAGTGAGTGAGTGGAGTGAGTGAGTGAGTGGAGTGAGTGAGTGGAGTGAGTGAGTGAGTGGAGTGAGTGGGTGGAGTGAGTGGAGTGAGTGGGTGGAGTGAGTGAGTGGCGTGAGTGAGTGGAGTGAGTGAGTGGAGTGAGTGAGTGGAGTGAGAGGAGTGAGTGAGTGGAGTGAGTGAGTGGAGAGAAATAAACAGCTGTGAAAGTTTGGGATACCACTTCTTGAAAAAATTTTACTGTACCATTGAAAATTAGTTTAATGTCTGGTTTGATTTAGAACATCTTTCCAATGATTGCTTAATTTGAAACCATCCTGTCAGTTGAAATTGTGTCTGTGTTTGTAAATCTGAATTGCCTTGTGGACAAATCTCTGATAAAAACCCGTGGGTTTGCAGAGAACCTTGGTATCGGAGAAAACTATATCGTGATCACCCACAGCGTTGTAACAGTGGTCAGCTACGGCAGAATAATTCGTTCTGCCGTGTTTCAAATCTGATTTGTGCTCGCGAATTCGGTCAGAGACATGTCGCTTCGTCTCCCCGATATAACAATCACCACAAGTGCAGCTCAATTTGTAAACCCCGGGGTACTGTAAGTCAGGAACGACATCCTTCACGGATGGGATCAGGTCACGGATTTTGTGTACTATATTGAACCGGACCAGGATCTTGTGTTTGTTTAGAATTTTGGAGATCTTTTTAGTAACGCCTGCTATATATGGTAGTGTGATGGTTTTGACCGGAGTATCAAGTGGTTGTTTCTGTATGGAGGGAGAAACAGCTTGGCGGATGGTACGGTCAGAGTATCCATTTCTCTTGAGGGCCAGGTGAACATGTTTTAATTCACTGGTCAGGTGGTGTTGGTCCGAAATGCAATGTGCCCTGTGGTATAACGTTTTGATGAGATAATTCTTTTGAACTGGGTGGTGGTGGGAATCAGGTTTCAAGTAGGAATCTGTGTGGGTGGGTTTCCTGTAGACAGAATGCCCCAGTGAGCCATCTGGTCTCCTCTCAAACAGAACATCCAAGAATGGTAGCTTGCCATCTTTCTCCACTTCCATGGTGAATTCTAGACATCCCGCCATCAAATTCACCATGGAAGTGGAGAAAGATGGCAAGCTACCATTCTTGGATGGATATTCGCAGCAGCGTTCAATCTACACCTATGTTTTAAGAGACTTAAGGCCCTCCCTTTTTTGTGCCTGGCTTTTGAGTAACACGGGGCTTGGCTCTGTGCCTCAGAGCCACGATCAATTATGTCTGTGAAATGTTGTGTGCACAATGTTGCATTATTATTACGGATGCATTGGAAACAATTGGGAAAATGTAAGTCGCCAACTTGAAGAAAGTTTATTGTTTGATAAAAAAAAAAGTGTTCTTACCTGGAAAATTGTCTACATTTTGCTCTTTTTTTACACCAAAACTAAAAAAGGCATGATGCAAAATGGAATGTGTTTAATAGCACGGATGATTGAATGTAATTGTTTTAATATTTGTGTTGCTGCTTCGGGGGGTGGGGGCGGGGTTAACAGGGTGCAAACAGTATAGTAAACAGTGCTCCAGCCTTGGTGGGAAGTGTCAGTACGCTGGCGACACATGCGATGGTGGATACGTCAAGGGTAAATGCCCTGGAGGAGACAACTGTCAGTGCTGCGCCCGTGAGTATCTCCAAGTCTGCTTTCATAGGGATAGATTTAAAAGTGGAGCCTATAGCCTCAGTGACATGTTGTATGCATCTTGATTTCTGGTGGGAATGAGACCAGAAAAGGACAGAAAGGCTGCCTTCCTATTCAAACTGAATACCGTTCAGCCGGCAGGACTGAATGAAAGCCTGACCTTCATTTAACACGTTGTATTATTATTGAGTGCGAGATTAATTGTATCCCTCTATGTAATCCAACGTGTGCTTCAATTGGTGTAAGCTCCGATTGAAGCGCACATTTGTTTACATTACAATAAATGTGCCAGTGAAAGTGGACAGCACAATCAAAAAAGATAATCGTTTTTAACTTGTCTCCCATAAATTCCTCTACCGCGATCCATATTTGTTTTTGGATTAGTTTATGAAAAAATACATTAAACCGAATGACATCAACACTAATCAGTTTAACACGTAGGCTTTCGCGATCAATATTATTAATAATAAACGTTTTTGGGTTAGATTGAGTTATTTATAATTTTGTCGTAACCCTCCACTGGCAAAGACTAATTCGAGAATCCATTGAAATTGAGAGAAATAGAAATAACTTTAATCGCTCTGACAGCTACAGGCTTAGTGCGGCCTGGAAGCGTATTATTAAATAATACAAATTACAATTTCTTATAGGAGAAACACATACTAATTAACTGATTACTAACGTAGCATGTAATTACAATAACACATTACAACTCATTACTAATCATAACAATTGACTGGTTACCAATCTATTATATAATTACAATACCCCCCCACCCCGCCTGAAATCTTCGCACCTGAGTTAAATGATGACGTCACCCTGCTGCTCTATTTAAGAACGGGAGCAAGTGAGGGCTTCACCATTCTGGCAAATTGCCCGATGATGCTGGATGTAATTGCCAGCGAAACGTCACATTCAAAAACTGTAAATGTTGTGGATTCACTCTTCAACACAGCAGTGGGCTAAAGTAGTGAACTATTTTGTCTCTTGTCAACATGACACTTTTTTGCTGATTGGCCGTGTCGGGTGGTGGAGGGTTACGACACATTTATAAATAATGCGATCTAACCCAAAAACGTTGATTATGAATCAACACTAATGATAAGAATTTGGCATGAAACTACAAATATGTATTATTGTATTGGCTATGAAAACCGACGTTTTTAGTTCCTGCACCCTGCTTACAAGGTTCAGGAATTTGTAACTTTTAAAAGTGCCTTTGATCCTAACATTTATAGAGAGGGACTGTAATCCTATTGAAATGGAAATTTTGCTCTGGAATGCATCATTCAGAGCTTGATGCTAAGTGTTTTATTGCCCTTAATGCAATATAGTTACTCACAATGGAATGTTTCATTACCATTTTTATTGTACTCTGAATGCAAATTAGTTTAATTAGTAATACATGTTTGGTTATTGAAGGTTTTGACTGTTGCTGAGTAGCTGCTAATAGGTAACTATACATCAGACCCCATATATAAAAAGCAGTCTCCAACTCTTATCGACTCTATCTGTCTAGTCTATCTGCTATGCAGAAAGATCATTGCCCAAAATGTTGCCAATTGTGTTTGTTTTCCTTTAAGGCAGTGTGAGAAGGCAATAGACCAACATAGAAAGCTGTTTCGTAGCATGTAAGATCGCACGTCATTCTGTTTTAATACTTTTACTGTGCTAACAGCATGCCAACAAAGTATCAACTGTACGAAAAGTAACGGAACGTGTCAGTACAGTGGTGAGGAGTGCAGAGGCACATACGTCGATAAGAAGTGCCCTGGCCCGGGTCACTGTCAGTGCTGCATCCGTGAGTACCTTAAATCTGTATTCATTTAGACACCACACTAAATGAAATGAGCAGCTAATAGTTTGGTCTGAAATGATAAGAGTGAATAATCAATTGTACGTCACACATTTATCAGTATATTCAATGTAAATTAGAAAACAGGTACAGTATTTTCGTACACTATTTAAACGTGACAAATCTACTCTGATGCAACAGATTTGGATCACGTGACAGCAAAATGGTATTTAATTTATTTGCAAACATTTCAGCGGATCTCTTTGTTCAAGTTTCACTTGATATTGTGAAAGACATTGCTTCTTCAAGTGTGACAGACGGCACTTCCTCTTTTATCTGAACAATGGTTTTATTCATCGGACATTTTTTTTCTACGCCATAAAAATACTGAGTAGAATTTTTCCACTAAACTTGAAAAATTATCCAACCAAAATCGAATTCAACCACCACTGACAGCTGTCTTCAGGCAAATTAATCTTGCCACAACTTTACAATTTGCAAAAACTGGTCCAATCCGAGTATCTTCCCCAGGCACTGAGAGACCACATGATATCTTGACTGAACCTGAACCGGGCCATAGCCTCTCTTCGATCCAGTCCTTCCAAGTACCCTATTCTGGCCACCACCTTATCGTCATTTTGCTACAATGACCCAGGCCTATCGTAATGAAAACTACCCTCTATTCACACATTCTAAGAAGCATCAATTTTCCAACCGTTGAGCATCTACTGGCCAAATCCCTCTCCATCTTATCCCCTTCACCCAACCCAGGTGTCTGCGCTCATCAGCTTGAAGCTGACCTCCGTTCGACAAACTGGCACCTCTCAAATCTCGATCTTCAAGTAACATGAAAACTCTCAACGGTTGTGATTAAATTTTTGGCCTATGTCATCCTCGGCTATATTCCCTCGCTTCCCTTTACTCCCTCCACCTCGTGCCCTTATAAATCTCTACGTTCATCCTGCAAAGTCCCATCATTAGGGAGAAACACAAACAAATAGACAAAACATAGTTTTGCCCGGATGGAAATGTCTGTATGTCATATGGACCTGAAAACTCAATATCCCTGTCTCAAGAATACGGGTAAACCGTATGGGTTGACAGGTATGAATCTGGAAGCTTAACACGTAGTCGGCTTCCTCGACCAATGTTATTCGTAATAAAAGGTTTTTTTGGGGGAGGGGGTTAGATGGTGTGACTATACATGTGTCGTTAAACCCACCACCACCTGACAGCCAATTTGTAAGGTTTGTCACGTTAACAAAGCATGCTAATTAGTTACTAGTTCAGGCCGGAAACCGGAAGACTTCTTCACAACTCTGGCAAATTCTGGCAAATCGCCTGATGAAGCTGGTTGTAATCACCAACGAAATGCCTCGTGAAGGATGTCATTCCTGACGTACAGTACCCCGGGGTTTACAAATTGAGTTGTACCTGCGGTGATTGCTATATCGGGGAGACAAAGCGACATGTCTCTGACCGAATTCGCGAGCACAAATCAGATTTGAAACACGGCAAAACGAATTCTTCTGCCGTGGCTGATCACTGTTACAACGCTGTGGGTGATTACGATATAATTTTCTCCGATACCAAGGTTCTTTGCAAACCCACGGGTTTTCATCAGAGATTTGTTCACGAGGCAATTCAGATCTACAAACACAGACACAATTTCAACAGAGAAGATAGTTTCAAATTAAGCAACCACTGGAAAGATGTTCTAAATCGAACTAAACATTAAACTAATTTTCAATGGTACAGTATATTTTTCACAGCTCTTAAAAATTCCCTTTTCACACCATCAATAGGTAAACACCCCCTCCCCCTACCGCGCCAAACGGCAAGTACACCCACACATACACCACCTCTATGCTAAGTCGGCCAATCAAATGCTAATTTTTATGCTAATTCCTTTGTCAAGGCACCTTGTTTCCTCGCACACAGCTTAAAGGTCCGCGGTCTGAGCGTGGCTGTGTCTCACTCCTGATCCCTTCACCTGATGAAGGCCGCTTGTGCTGTGGCCGAAACGTCGTGATTTTTGTTGTTTTATTTTTTACCTACGTGACTTTACCGAATAGAACCAAAGAGTAAACAACATCACAGCGATCCGTAAAGAGGAAGAGGCAACAACGAAGCAGAACTCGTCAGAGGTAGAGGCAAAAAGAGCGCTTTAAGGATGACAAAATAACATTATTAACAAAATAAACAGGCATATTGCAAAAAAAAACAAAGACGAGGGAATGAAGGGTTGAAGAGGAGATGTGTGCGAGGCGAGGCGAACTCGATTGAGCGAGAAAATCAAACACCACGGGAATGGTGCCGCAGCAAGCGGGTTCAGTACAGCGCAGCAGCCGAGCTGTGTGCATTCTGAGCCAGGAGTGATTTTAAATGATGGAGGCAGAGGGAAGGGTAGAGTGTCAAGTCTAAGTAGAGAGGCGAGGGCATTCCAGTACAAACGTGGGGCAGCAGTTTGGAGGGACACGTCGCAAAAGCTAATTTGAATAGATGGTATTTTAGAAGAGGAAAGCACTTCAGAGGTCGCCACTGGTAATTTTCAGAGTTATGAGGTCCTTTTGATATTTGGCGTTTTTTTAAATTATAATAAGCGATTAACATTATTTTGGCTTTCAAAAATATTTATTGCATATTTTTTGTAACGGTAATATCTAATTTCGAAATATATACTTTGTCAAATTTACAGTCTATGCTGATGGATACATTGTAAACTATCGGGAATGTTTAAGTCGCCTAGGTTACAATTTTATGCAACGCCATTCTTTTCAATGAAAGGTATAAAATGCTCTTTGGTTCTTTTGGTAAAGTCACGTAGGTATAAAATAAAATAAATCACGACGCTTTGGGCGCAACACAAGCGTCTATCATCAGGTGGGAAAAGCATGGTCTGCTGCTGAGGCAGACTGTTTTAAAAGGTTTGAAATGGGTGTTACTCAAGGGTTATAAAAAAAAATGGCCGGGGCTAGTGATGTTAATGTGAGAAATTAGCATGTAACTGTAAGATAGGAGAGCGGCCTCCTAAACGAGGGCACGGAAGTGGCTATGTATAATGTGAGGGATTAGCATGATGTTAATGTGAGAACTTTAAAGCTTTATTTTAACATGACGTGTTGTACGGAAAAAAAATCTCAGTTTCTCTTGTGTAAACTAGGACTAAAAATACTGAATATACAATACATTGCTATTCAGTAGCATGGATGATTGAATGCAATTCTGTTTTAACATGTATGTTGTTGCTGGGGGATTTTGACAGCATGCCAAGAGTATAGTGAAAAGTGTTCCAGTGTTGGTGGAAAGTGTCAGTACATTGGTGACAAATGCGATGGCATATATGTCAAAAGATTATGCAGTGGACGAGACAACTGTCAATGCTGCGTCCGTGAGTATCCACAAGCCTGCATTCTTGCATTCCACACAACACTAAGTAAAACGAGCAGCTAATCGATCAGTCTGAAAGGGACCTATTAAAATGAAATGGATAGCCACGTGAAGTAACACTAACCCCTTTTTGCTGTTGTGCATATAGTCATGACACAGATATTCTACTGTGACTTCCACCTGAAGACGGACGCTTGTGTTGCCTCCGAAACGTCGTGATTTAATTGTTTCTTTTATTTTATTTTACCTACGCGACTTTACCGAATAAAACCAAAGAGTATGAATCCTTGCAGTCACGAAAGCTTAAAATCTAGAATTATGTTCCGATGTCTTTAAATATTGAGTTGCATTTCTTCTTTTCCCAAAACCTTTTGTAAATTCCAACTTTGGGTTGGCATTGTCGTCCCTTTTCATGTCTTGTTCTTCATTTCGTCTTTTGTGGTTTTAGAGAAAGTGTTCTCTTTGCTTTTTACCTTTCTTCCACTTTCCGTGTACTGTACATTACTACACTAGTTAGTTTATTATTTAAAGTGCAGATCAATATCCAGATGTCATCATGGCTTCTACACTCAACCAGATCATGCAGCTGAATGCACAGACACACGAGCTCCAAGATGTTTCCAACAATGTTTCACCATCTGGACTTTTGTCTTCCCTTGGTCACGGGACCCGTGGAGACCATTCCAATGCCCTCCTTCCCCATATAGCACACACCCACCATGGGCGTTTTTTTCTTTATCATATCTCTAACTCTTAGCTGCCGTGTTCTTTTCTGGACTTCTGCATTGCTTAATCTTGTCTTGCCATGAAAACCCTAGCATCTGCCTCAAAGACCCATCCTCATATTGATTATAGAGACACGAGTCATTTTTTGAATAACGTTATATGTGTAGAGTAGTAGTAGTTAGTGACGTAGTGTCACGTTCGCCCTCTGGTACGATGACGTTATGGATAGTGACGTCATGCACAGGGGGCGGGACGGTTACATCATGTTCCCCTGGGGGATTTAAGCTGGAACCCGTCACGTGTTCAGGGTCGTCTGGAGCGTCCAGGAACGTGAAGGGTGGAAGTCGGGACCCAGGGTAGGGGGAAATTGGCACCAGGCTAGGGTAGCCTGTGGGTGTGCTAGGGACCTCCCTAGTAACCTTCCCCCGGGGGAGCGATGGGACCCCGGGGTAGGGAGAAATTGGCACCAGGTTAGGGTAGCCTGTGGGTGTGCTAGGGACCTCCCCAGTACCCTTCCCCTGGGGGAGCGATGGGACCCCGGAGTAGAGGGAAATTGGCACCAGGCTAGAGTAGCCTGTGGGTGTGCTAGGGACCTCCCCAGTACCCTTCCCCTGGGGGAGCGATGGGACCCCGGGGTAGGGGGAAATTGGCACCAGCCTAGGGTAGCCTGCGGGTGTGCTAGGGACCTCCCCAGTACCTTTCCCCTGGGGTGTGGAGTGTAGGCAGTGAGTGTGCAGTACACGGAGTCGCGTGTGAAGAAAGGTCTTAAATAAAACAACTGGCGCAAGCCCCTACATGAAGATCTGCCTCCGAGTCATCATGTATAAAACATATCTCAAATTCTTGTTGAGCGCTTCGCGCCTCGCCCGTCACCCCTACTGATGTCGTCTTCTTTCCCCCGCCCCATGTATACAGATACTACTGACTCATTGTACGTAGGGTGTGTAGGCATATATGCCTACAAAATAATAACAATTTTAGGGGGGGGTTGACAATTGTTGTAAACCTCGATTTAAAGCTTTCGTGACTGCAGGGATTGATATTCTTGGTTCTTTCGGTAAAGTCACGTAGAAGGGAAATAATAAAATAAAAATAAACAAAATTATCACGACATTTCGGCCACAACGCAAGCAGCCATCCTCAGGTGATGAACAGAGCTGGCGGAAAGAACAGAGTTGTCGGAAAGATAGCTCTGTTCTTCACCTGAGGACGGCTGCTTGCGTTGTGGCCAAAACGTCGTGAGAATTTTATTTTAAATTTTTATTATTTTATTATTTCCCTTCTACGTGACTACCGAAAGAACCAAGAATATGTTGTAAACCTGTTGGATCAACTTTTTACCCCCACGTTTTGATTGAGGCCTTCTGAAAGGCTCTCATAATTTAGTTGACGGACAAATGGAACGCTGGGATTTTATGAGAAATTGCAACAAACAAGCAAACGTTGATAACATGTTCTTAATGTGTCCATATATACCTAAACATACACTGTACGTTGTGTTATGATACTGTACAGCAAAATGGAAGCCCTTCTGTCATGGCCACGTGGTGAATGTCGTGAGAGGCTGCGAGGGTAAATTTGGGTGTGGACACTACAGGTCCCCTCGGTAAGAGTCTTCATTCGCTCAGATCGAGACTACGCGAGGCAAAATCTTTACTTCTGGTGACTGGAACGGTCCAGTCCATCTGTTCCAAATTTGCTGGAGAAAATTGGCTGTTTTGTGCAATTAAAAATTATTGTTGCAAATTATTGTTGTAAAATGTTATTCAACATCCCAAGTAATGCCCTCTCCTCTTGTTCTATCTTCAGCAATATTTTGGTTTATTATTATACTGTGTGTAACTATTTTGAGAGACAGAGTTTTTCTCAAGTAGTAGTTAATTGTCTGAATAAATATGCAGATGACAGTCTTGAAGTACACAAACCATTATTGTGAAATTAGTGCAAGCAGACATGGTGTTAAGTAACACTGATCCGATGCTAGAACCTGATTTAATTTTATGTAGGCATGCATTGGTGTTGAGTGGAGGACAATCATTGTATTTCACGGCTCTGAGTAAATGTATTCTCGTAGCTGTAGAATGACTATTCCAGTACTCATGTAGACTTAAATTGTAATGACTGTATTACAAGAGTGTCTTACACAATACGTGCATCTCTCATTACCCACACAAGATTGGCATGTTTCTTTACAGCTTAAGTGTGCGAACCGTATTCCAGTCGGAGTTTTTGGTGCTTTTATTGATGCATTTGTTTTGGTGTCCTTTCTGGCTTACCCCGAATTCAGGCTTCATGAGGTTTTACTGTATTCATTTTACGGGTCATTTTACATTGCAGCACACACTTAGCCATAGGTCATTTACCATCGCATAGGTAAATGTCTCACCTTTATGAAGATGAAGCAAACAGGTTTCATTTTTACATCATTGAAAAACTGTTGATAAAACACCCACTGCCGTTATTTTCAATGGCTTTGTAACTGAAAACAACAAATACACGTCACATTTTAACGGAGGCATGGGAAGGCCAGATTGAAATCATCTTATTTGATGGAACCAATTCGAATATGATTTGGTCAGCTGGCATTCTTAACATATCACTTAAAGTTTTCAGAACGCAGAGAGTGCCTGTTCATTTCGAGGGTTGACTTCACTCAGCTACCCTCCAAGGTTAATACATTAACCACGTACTGTATTGGTAGGAAGTCGAGAGTGGTTGCTCCTTGGAGACACTGATCTCAACCCAACAGACATCAGGGATTCAGGTCCTCCACAGAGATAAGCATCATAACAATCAGTGGCGGGTCGTGACACTTCCACTAGGTGGGCCTGTCGTTGAAAGAATCATATTCATTTTTTAAGACAAAACAATTCATAGAAAAGTTTTTTTTATGATAAAAATAATTTCTCGCCCCTAGTGGACGAACCGCGCTTGATAACAATATTGCGACACTGGGCATATTTTATTTGATTGAGATATAGCCATGATAGGAACAATATATGTACCGTATATGTATTTTAATATGTGAAAATTACCTATTTTTCATTGGATACAGTCCACATGGCAAGCACATGGGAGTGGATATAATTTGCCTTGATGGACGCAGAGTGAATGCACCATTCAAAGGGGAACTGAAGGGTTTGGCCAGGGCCTACAAGAAAAACAATGCCATCAATGACGGAGTGAAACTTTCCAATGCTGGTAATGTTACACACTTGTCATGATTAATCCCATTTTGCACGATGCTATTCAATGATTGTACATGTTTATTTACATGTTCTTGCAGTATATAGCCTAACATGATGAATGTTTAGCCTATTAAACCTTGATGCATTATGTCAACATCATTACAATGTGATCCCACTATACGCATGTCCATGCCATGCAATACACAAACAAATGAGTGTGGGTCGATAAACAGAGAGGATACAGCCCCACGATCTTGCAATCGTTGGGGCCTGAGAAAGATATGTCCGGGTCTATGAAGTAAATTGTCTTCCACTTGGGATTTATTGACCAGCAGTGATGGAAGAACGATTAATATCAGAAACAAGACATTGTATCAGTATGTAGACCAACCAGTGAATGCCAAGTTGTAACTGAACAAAAAAAAATATTAAATAACTTTGCAGCTTGAAAAAATAAATGTATGATTTTGTGCTGCGGAACATCTATTGTGTGTAAAGGTGCAGGTTCATACACGATAATGCCTATTGCCCTATTGTTTGACAATTTGAGTTTGAACTGATCACAATGTATTTAAAAATTATATTTACATTCCAATAGTAACATGTTCGGTGTTTGTCTCTTGTATTGTGTGTACGCAGCGTTCTGCATTAAAATTGTATACATCCATGCTGACCGCTATACCGGCACCGTTGACATTGGCCAGCCGATTGGGTATCTGCTGAACGTGCAGAGGGTTTACCCTGGAATCACCTCCCATATCCACATCGAGATGTGTGATAAATCCAAGGATCCAACATTTTACTTAAACTAACAAAGGCATGAATTGCTGAAGACGGGGTTGTTTAAGTATCATTCCAGAACTGGTTTTAGGTTTTGATATGGTTGCTATTAATCACATGCAAATAATCACAAATGTTGTGCAATTAAACATGAGCGATATTACAGGATTTTCTCAGTTTACATAACTACATCTATTTTCCAGAAACACTGGACCACACAACCACTAAACTGCACTCTTAATTTGCACAGAATTATCTCACGTGAAAGGCCAATATGTGAAAGGAAATCTGATAGCTATAATTGCTTAAATTTCATTATGGGAATTTGATAAGAATATACACAAGGTGTATACATATCGTAATTATTTTACACAGCACTCTGAATGCCAAAACCTTTTGTGGGATTCTAATTGGGATGTTTCGTACAATTATTTAGACCATTGGAGTAAACGAAGACCCAAGGAACCCCCATGTAAAGTAAATCAGATCCGGTATGATGCATAAACCCGTAATTTCATGAAGTGTTCATGCATATAATAGAACTGGATTAATGGTATTTTGATTATAATGGCTTGCTGGTGCCAATGCAGCATTTTTGCTGTTTGCTATGCTCATAACTTGTCGATGTGATTGCAAATGCTGTAGTCTCTTGTGATCATATTGTGCTGTAGAAAATAAAGGTCGTTTCTGGGATAGGCTCATTGAATTCACTCGTGAGTGCTTGCCTGCGTGTTGCACGGGCCAATTCATATGAAACATGCTGCTGATGCTGTCCATCATCGCCACACAGTGGTGGGAACATGTTAGATATAGCATGTTATTGTATTCACATATACTACAGTATATGCAGGTAATGGTAATCCTGTATTGTGCAAAGTATTCCTTGTCCAATAATAGTATCATGATACATTCTGATTAAATAATATGAAAACACTTAAAGCCAATATGTATGCTGTAAATCAGTGGTTCTTAACCTGGGGTGCACGTACCCCAGGTTAACCTCTACCGCAGGCTGCGGTAGAGGTTAAGAACCACTGCTGTAAATAATATCACAAAGTTTACAGTAATAAAACCGGTTCAGTCACATGCTGAACGACACACCCACTCTACCCAAACATCCCGACACACTTCTTCTCCACCTCGAACCTCCCCTTCCTTGGAAAAGTTACAGGGAGGGTCATCTTCTGGCACCTCTCCAAAAGCGCCTCTCATCCATGGCGTCCATGACCGGGTACAATCTTGTTTCTGCCGGAGCCATTCCACTAAAATGACCTCTCTTCAGACGAGATGTTAATGATGTTAAGGGTCATCTTCTGGCACCTCTCCAAAAGCGCCGCTCATCCATGGCGTCCATGACCGAGTACAATCTTGTTTCTGCCGGAGCCATTCCACTAAAATGACCTCTCTTCAGACGAGATGTTAATGGCGCTGCGATGGCGATATGTTATCGGCTTCCCCTGGTATAACAGGAGGACATGGGTTCGATCTCGACCCAGACGCCTGCTGTATATTTGGAGTTTGCACGTTCTCCCCGTGGTCGCGTGCATTGTTCTCCGGGGTTCCGCCACATTTAGAAACACGTGTTTAGATGATTTGGCTGCTGTAAATATCCACGTGACACGCCACTTCGTTCAGCTATCATTTGTGGCCAGGTGGCCTCTGAGAGAGAGCTACGTAGCTCGGTGGCCTTTACCTCGTTAAATAAAAACAAAATTTTGATTTAAAGCTTTCGTGACTGCAGTAATTCATATTCTTAGCTCTTTCGGTAAAGTCACGTTGAAGGGAAACAATGAAATAATAAAATGTATATAAAGCAATAAAAATTCTCACGACATTTCGACCATAACACATAAAATATAGATTTTATTATTTTATTGCTTCCCTTCAACGTGACTTTACCGAAAGAGCTAAGAATATAAAAACAAAATGTTTAAAAATAGACCATGGATACCTGGGGCGCCTCAATGACTCTGCAGTCGTCTCTAATACACTCCTCCCCTCGTTCTACTCTTCCCTCTCAAATCGCTCCTTCTGGGATTCCATACAAGGACTCGTACTGAAGTTGTTATTTTACATTCCTTGAAACCTAGTGCCTAATTATCATCAACCATGGTTAACTTCACTGCTGAATGAATGCCTCTCCGATCTGTAGCCAACTCACGATCCTGCGATGTGATAATCCCCCTTGCATCTGCACACGAGATGGAAAGGTCGCTATATAAATCCTAAATAGAAGCTGTCTCTGATGTGGACCAATCAGTTTGAAAGACAATGCATATACTATCAGAGCATGTTTTTTTTGCATGTTCATCACAAGTATATGTGGCTAATGCAGACATGATTCCTTGCAAAAGGTTTCAGTTTGGTGTTTTAACATCTTAACACAGCTGTTTTATTGCCAGGAAGGGTAAAACCTATTCTTATATTTTGATACTGGCAAGAGAGGTCCCATGATGATTATGGATGCCTGCACTGAACGGTACTGATGAGTCCTCGTGAAGACAAAGGCAGTCTACAGTTACCTCTCTGATTTCCCTGCTGCCTGTTGGGAAGGCCACATCTTAACCCCTTGAGTTGGTGGTCTAAACCAGCGGTCCCCAACCTTTTTGGCACCAGGGACCGGTTTCGTGGAATACAAATTTTTCACGGACGGGGTGGTGGGGGGGGGTTCATCATTGGGTCTTTTCCCCTTTTCAAAGAAGCTCTCCAGCGACGTTTGTTTCTTACTCATTGTGGCTACTAGGGGTTAGAGCTTGTGGGCTTACTCATTGTGGCTACTAGGGGTTAGAGCTTGTGGGCTTACTCATTGTGGCTACTAGGGGTTAGAGCTTGTGGGCTTACTCATTGTGACTACTAGGGTTAGAGCTTGTGGGCTTACACATTGTGGCTACTAGGGGTTAGAGCTTGTGGGCTTACTCATTGTGGCTACTAGGGTTAGAGCTTGTGGGCTTACTCATTGTGGCTACTAGGGGTTAGAGCTTGTGGGCTTACTCATTGTGGCTACTAGGGGTTAGAGCTTGTGGGCTAACTCATTGTGGCTACTAGGGTTAGAGCTTGTGGGCTTACTCATTGTGGCTACTAGGGTTAGCGCTTGTGGGCTTACTCATTGTGGCTACTAGGGGTTACAGCTTGTGGGCTTACTCATTTTGGCTACTAGGGGTTAGAGCTTGTGGGATTACTCATTGTGACTACTAGGGGTTCACTTGTGGGCTTACTCATTGTGGCTACTAGGGGTTAGCTTGTGGGCTTACTCATTGTGGCTACTAGGGTTAGAGCTTGTGGGCTTACTCATTGTGGCTACTAGGGTTAGAGCTTGTGGGCTTACTCATTGTGGCTACTAGGGGTTAGAGCTTGTGGGCTTACTCATTGTGGCTACTAGGGTTAGAGCTTGTGGGCTTACTCATTGTGGCTACTAGCGGTTAGAGCTTGTGGGCTTACTCATTGTGGCTACTAGGGTTAGAGCTTGTGGGCTTACTCATTGTGGCTACTAGGGTTAGCGCTTGTGGGCTTACTCACTGTGGCTACTAGGGGTTAGAGCTTGTGGGCTTACTCATTGTGGCTACTAGGGTTAGAGCTTGTGGGCTTACTCATTGTGGCTACTAGGGGTTAGCTTGTGGGCTTACTCATTGTGGCTACTAGGGTTAGAGCTTGTGGGCTTACTCATTGTGGCTACTAGGGGTTAGAGCTTGTGGGCTTGCTTATTGTGGCTACTAGGGTTAGAGCTTGTGGGCTTACTCATTGTGGCTACTAGGGGTTAGAGCTTGTGCGCTTACTCATTGTGGCTACTAGGGTTAGAGCTTGTGGGCTTACTCATTGTGGCTACTAGGGGTTAGAGCTTGTGGGCTTACTCATTGTGGCTACTAGGGGTTAGCTTGTGGGCTTACTCATTGTGGCGTCCATGACCGAGTACAATCTTGTTTCTGCCGGAGCCATTCCACTAAAATGACCTCTCTTCAGACGAGATGTTAATGATGTTAAGGGTCATCTTCTGGCACCTCTCCAAAAGCGCCGCTCATCCATGGCGTCCATGACCGAGTACAATCTTGTTTCTGCCGGAGCCATTCCACTAAAATGACCTCTCTTCAGACGAGATGTTAATGGCGCTGCGATGGCGATATGTTATCGGCTTCCCCTGGTATAACAGGAGGACATGGGTTCGATCTCGACCCAGACGCCTGCTGTATATTTGGAGTTTGCACGTTCTCCCCGTGGTCGCGTGCATTGTTCTCCGGGGTTCCGCCACATTTAGAAACACGTGTTTAGATGATTTGGCTGCTGTAAATATCCACGTGACACGCCACTTCGTTCAGCTATCATTTGTGGCCAGGTGGCCTCTGAGAGAGAGCTACGTAGCTCGGTGGCCTTTACCTCGTTAAATAAAAACAAAATTTTGATTTAAAGCTTTCGTGACTGCAGTAATTCATATTCTTAGCTCTTTCGGTAAAGTCACGTTGAAGGGAAACAATGAAATAATAAAATGTATATAAAGCAATAAAAATTCTCACGACATTTCGACCATAACACATAAAATATAGATTTTATTATTTTATTGCTTCCCTTCAACGTGACTTTACCGAAAGAGCTAAGAATATAAAAACAAAATGTTTAAAAATAGACCATGGATACCTGGGGCGCCTCAATGACTCTGCAGTCGTCTCTAATACACTCCTCCCCTCGTTCTACTCTTCCCTCTCAAATCGCTCCTTCTGGGATTCCATACAAGGACTCGTACTGAAGTTGTTATTTTACATTCCTTGAAACCTAGTGCCTAATTATCATCAACCATGGTTAACTTCACTGCTGAATGAATGCCTCTCCGATCTGTAGCCAACTCACGATCCTGCGATGTGATAATCCCCCTTGCATCTGCACACGAGATGGAAAGGTCGCTATATAAATCCTAAATAGAAGCTGTCTCTGATGTGGACCAATCAGTTTGAAAGACAATGCATATACTATCAGAGCATGTTTTTTTTGCATGTTCATCACAAGTATATGTGGCTAATGCAGACATGATTCCTTGCAAAAGGTTTCAGTTTGGTGTTTTAACATCTTAACACAGCTGTTTTATTGCCAGGAAGGGTAAAACCTATTCTTATATTTTGATACTGGCAAGAGAGGTCCCATGATGATTATGGATGCCTGCACTGAACGGTACTGATGAGTCCTCGTGAAGAAAAAGGCAGTCTACAGTTACCTCTCTGATTTCCCTGCTGCCTGTTGGAAAGGCCACATCTTAACCCCTTGAGTTGGTGGTCTAAACCAGCGGTCCCCAACCTTTTTGGCACCAGGGACCGGTTTCGTGGAATACAAATTTTTCACGGACGGGGTGGTGGGGGGGGTCATCATTGGGTCTTTTCCCCTTTTCAAAGAAGCTCTCCAGCGACGTTTGTTTCTTACTCATTGTGGCTACTAGGGGTTAGAGCTTGTGGGCTTACTCATTGTGGCTACTAGGGGTTAGAGCTTGTGGGCTTTCTCATTGTGGCTACTAGGGGTTAGAGCTTGTGGGCTTACTCATTGTGACTACTAGGGTTAGAGCTTGTGGGCTTACTCATTGTGGCTACTAGGGGTTAGAGCTTGTGGGCTTACTCACTGTGGTTACTAGGGGTTAGAGCTTGTGGGCTTACTCATTGTGGCTACTAGGGGTTAGAGCTTGTGGGCTTACTCATTGTGGCTACTAGGGTTAGAGCTTGTGGGCTTACT